GGTGGCCTCGGGGCCCAGGTGGGGAGCTGGTATGCGGGCACTGGGAGCGAGGCTGGTGGTTGCGGCCCTGGCTGCTGCTGCCCTGTTGGTGTGACCACTTCCTGATCTGTTCAGCCACCGCCTGGAGGCAGGAACCTCTGAGCTCCTGGCCACCAGCACAAGTGAAGGAGCCGCAGTAGGCACTACTTTGCTCTGGGAGTGTTAAGCTGCTGGGCAGGTTAATGAAGCCTAGAGGAGCGTGAGGAAGAGGAGGTGCTTTGGCAATTGGGATGCTTTCTGCAGCCTTCTGATCGTTCACTCTGGGGGTTTGGGGTCTTTAAAACCATTAAGGGGGAAATAATAAACAAAAAGAGAGCTACTTTTCCTTTAAAAAACAAAAACAAAAACTGATGGGATCACAGATATATGCAGTCAGACTCTGCCCAAACGGATGTTAACATGGCGCATGACTGTAGTTGTATTAACTTGTCTTCCTTGTAGGCGTATGGATATTATCCTGTCACTGAAGGCATTGTACTTCAGGGTAGATCTTGAAATGTTCTTTTAAACAATGAATGCAACCCCATTCCTCTTCTATTCACCTTTCCCAGCATAGTAGACCATATGATTGTCTGATTCAAAATGGCCAATACAAGTCCATTTCAGCTCACTAATGCCTAGGACATCGATCTTCAAGTGTTCCATTTCATTGTTGTCCAATTTTCCTAGATTCACACTTTGTGCATTCCATATTTTAATTACTAATGGATGTTTGCAGCTGTTTCTTCTCATTTTGATTCATGCCACATCAGCAAACGAAGGTTCTGAAAGCTTTACTCTAGCCATGTCATTAAGGACGAGGAGGCGGCTCTTCCCCAGTCATATTTTGAGTGTCTTCCAACCTGAGGGCTCATCTTCCGGCACTTTATCAGACAATTCTTTACACAGAGTCCACTCTAAACAACGCGGAAAGTAGGTGAAAGTGACCATGTGCAACCTAGGCCTTTCCCTTGCTGGGATAATTCTTTCTTCCCCATCAGTGTCCCCACCCCCAGCCATTGGCATCTCTTTTGCCTTTTCCCCTTCTTCCTCTCTTCCACTTTCCACTCTCTGTTATGATACCCAAGGCCCTCATGCTCAATATGAGGAAAGGACCTATTAGTTATTTATGCCTTGGTGTCAATGAGTTTAACTCTGTTACTTCTTCCAGCAAGTGAGACTTGTAAATAAAGCCTTATTTGTAATTCTGGAATCACACTGACCTAGGTTTGAACCATGGTTTTCCTATTAACTAGCTTAGAGATCTTGGGTCAGTAATTACCCTCATTGAGCATTACTTCCTCATCTTGACAATGGGGAAAATAGCCCTTTCCTTATAAAATTCTTATGAAGATTAGTTGTGATAATATATTTAAGGCATTTAGTACAGAGTTGGATAGTTAGTAAGTACTCAATAACGTGTGTGTATATAGTATTTTATTTTTACTATTTTTTGATTAGATACTTTTGGGTATCAAATGACAGTTGAAAAAGGTACTTAGGGTAATCAGGTGCTTCTGAAATTACACTTTCCTTCTATTCCTACCTGACAGTGTTCCCCTTCTGTCTACGAATAAGGTGGCCTTTGCTCTGGTGGCTGATTAGTTAAGTGCTCAGCTGCTAACCACAAGGTCAGCTGTTCGAACCCACCAGCATCTCTGTGGGAGAAAAGACCTGGCTCTCTGCTCCCATAAAGATTATAATAGCCTAGGAAACTACGAGGCAGTTCTACTTTGTCCTATAGGGTTGCTCTGAGTTGGAATGAACTAAAAGCACACAACAACAACAACTCTGGTGCCATAGATCACCCCAAAGAGCCCAGCAGCACAGTCTCGTGGTCATGGTGAGGAGCCCTGTAGGTGAATGCTATTTTTAAATAATAAAATCAGAGCAATGTAGAGAAATTGCAGATTTCCTTTTTATTGACAGATTTTTCTTTCCTTTTCTTCTCCTTCTTTTTCCTCCTCTCTTCCTCTGGTTTGGCAAATGCTCCAAATGTTACAAACCAGCCCTCCCTTCTTCCTCCTTTCTCCTTCTCCTCCTTCATCTTCCTCCTTATTTTTACTTTTTTTCCTCACTCAGTCTTACAGATTTTTATTTCTAAACATTCCTATTTTTTAGGGAAGAAGCATTTATTCTTTCAGGCTCCTGAGCTGATCTTCTTCTGAGATTTCCTTACAACTCTTTTGCCTTTGTAGCTTTCTCTGTTGCTGATCTTCCTCTTCCATACTTTGTTCTGGAATAAAGACACGTGTTTATTCAGTTCAGAATCAGACACACTGCCTTCCTTGGCCAGGGGGATGTAATTTATGAGTAACTAACTCCAGTACAAATTAGCTGTGTCACTTTGTGCAAATTGTTTAGACTCTCGGATTGTTGGTTTCCTCACATGCAAAGTAAAAGTGACAATTCTTGCCATGCTCTTTATCTGGAGCTGTTGTGGGATGTAGTGAGACATTGCATGTGAAAGTGCATTGTATGGTAAAGCACCGTGTATACACAAGGTGGAGGTGACTTTTTTTCATAACATATCTGTGTATAAGAGATTGTATATCCTACTGAATCCTCACTTACCCTCCATGGATCCACCATCCTCTTCCCCACTTCCCAGCGGAGGTTAAATTGACCATAGCAAGCGTAACGACAAAGAGCACAGGTTTTTGACTACTTCTGGGTGAATTCTATCTTTGACGCTTGCTAGCCTTCCTGAACCCCAGAGTTCCTCATTTGTAGTGTGCGCATAATGATATCCTACTTGGAAGACGGCTGGAAGGACTAAATGGTTAATGTATTTAACCAGCAAAGGACCTGGCACCTAGAAAGTGCTGTTCAGTAGTTCCTGATGCTGCTAATTATACTAACCCCTTAAGTAACTATCTATGGTTCAGCCTTAACCATCCCTTTCTGGCAGCCCGGAAGTTGGTATGGTCCACCGAGACTCATCATTGCTTTTACAAAGATCAGGTGTCTGGTTTGGCCATGAAGTCAAGTCTCTGAAAAGTGGGAAGAGGCAAGTGTTGGTGCTGATGCCCTCTCAGTTCATTCTCCTGCCAGGACCCAGTCCTTTTCTCTCCGGATACCTAGCCTGCTCTTAGCTGTTACTTTATTTAGTCAAGGTCCTGACCTAGTTGTATGGCACATTAAGTCCATGTGGCCACCTGTCTCTGGTGTCCAGCTGCCCCTAATTTTCAGTTTATAACTGCTTTATTGAAACTGCTTCCTAAGCCGCCATCCACAGCCATCTTATGTAGCTGACTACCATCAGCTCTTGGCCATAAGGCTCCTACCCATTGCCATTGAGTTGATTCCAGCTTATAGTGGCCATATAGGACAGAACTGCTGTATGGGGTTTCCAAGGCTGAAGTATTTACAGAAGCAGACTGCCACATCTTTCTTGAGTGGAGCGGCTGGTGGGTTTGAATTGCTGACCTTTCAGTTAGCAGCCCAGCGCTTTAACCACTCCACCACCAGGGCTCATGCCCATATCAATAAATAAAATTGATTAGATTATGTATCCTTAATTCATAAATGTTGGGTCATAATACAATACTGTGAAATTAGTCTTGAATAAAGGCTTCATAGGCTGATATAGAATTCATGTCCCAAACTGCTATGTCCAGATGATGTTTCAGATGCACCATTGTTTCAATAAAATATATGCACGCAGTATACAAATAGATTTTTAATCATCTGGTGCCTTTGGAAAACCTTAACATGTCTTGGTCTCTTTATCCTGACCCATTGCCATCGAGTCAATTCTGACTCATAGCAACCCTATTTGACAGAGTAGAACGGCCCCAAAGGGTCGGTCTCCAAGGCTATAACCTTTTTGAAAGCAGACTGCCATGTCTTTCTCCCACAGGGCGGCTGGTGGGTCAAATGGCCACTGTTTCAGTTAGCAGCCAAGCACTTAAACGCTGTGCCACCAGGGCTCCTTCTCTTGATATTTAGTTTCCCAATATTCTGTCCATATTGCTTCCTAAGTGGGGTTTACCCTGTATGGCATGCTGGGACAAGAGCCGCACAGCAAGAAGGGCAAAATCCTGCCCCTGTGCAACTGTGGGACCCCTAACTCCAGGTTACCAAAAGGAAAAATAAACAGGGTCTCCTAAAAAAAGGAGAAATGTCTTTGAAATAATTTATACTTGATACTTTTTAAAAAGCATCAACATAGTTATCATGGAAAAAATAAAAGCTTTGCTTTTCTGACAATTATTTTTACAATGTAGTTTACCTTTATTTTGAAGCATGTATGGTAGAGAGAGAATGCCATCAAGACAATTTGCATTGCTTAAGGGCTCTTTGGATCTTAACGTGGCCCTAGGGATATAGGTCAGTCTTTCTAGTGGGCAGAGGGGCAGGTGCCCAAGTGAAGAACTTTCAGGGTCTGGGAAGGGTCTCCTTCCTCCAGATATCCCCCTGTCTTAAATTCTTATCTCATTGACCAAAACTTTTTACTTCACAGCGGGTGAGAAGGCTTACAATGAAAACACATTTGAGTAAGACTCAAGCACATTGACACTGTGGTATAAATGACTGACAGTCTTCTTTCTAGATTTGGATCATTAGGGAGGCCACTTGGTGTCCGGATGATGCCATACAAAGAGACTAGAATTTGGAAAGTAGACACTTGAAGGACCTCAAGAAATTTCTTCCCCAAACTTAGCCAAATTAGTTTTGGGGAAGGGTGCCAGGAGATGTTTATTTCAGGATAAATGTTCCCAAGTGAATGTGGCGCTCACTCTGACTTGAGACCTTAAAATATGCATGGGAATATGAATTAGGGGTAGAAAAGAGCTTCAGGTTACAGAGGCCTGAGTAGCAGAAGGACTCTGCTATTCAAAACAAGGATGCTAGTTTCCCATGTTCTTCTTCACCCCTAACCTAATCCCATCATTATCCCATCCATCCTCTAACTTAATTTTAATTCATAGGTGATAGAATACCTGCTTATCTTAAAGGCATAACATTTGATCTTTCAGGGCTTCATGTATCTACCAGGAAGTACCATCAATGAGATTTCCACAAACCCGGAAGAAGCTGGCAAGTTTGTCTTTGAAGTCATTCCAGGTAGGTGACAACAAGTGGGACGGAGGTGCAGTATGTTCCCATTTTACTTCTGGATCCTGAAAGTCAAGGCTAAATTCAATGAGTCAACCAACTAGCCAAACAACTTAGTAAGAACATATATCAGTTCTACCTATAGGGTCAATGAGCCTATACTAGTTCTCACTATATAGTTAATAAACCTATACCAGTTCATTAACTAGTATCAAATGCCTCAATAGTGCCCATGGTGTATTGGGTTCATCTCTACAAGTACTTAATGAGAGCGTGCTGGGAGCCAGACATGCCACTAGGCACGGGGACACTGATATGAGAAGTACAACATCCCTGCTCATTGAAAGGAGTCCAGTTTAGGAAGGAAGTTGCACATGACAATAAATAGTTACAATGAAATGGAACTGCATGAAATTGCCATCTTAGAACGTCAAAAATGGTCCACTATCAGTAGGGTCATATGGTTCACTGTGACATAATGAAAAGAAACAGGTCCAGTTTACTGAGCACTTCATATATGCAGGTGCTGAATGCCGCATATTGCCTACGTGTGCAGCACACTGAGGGTGCCTCTTCCCCATCATGAGTTACTGTCCTGGAATGCTCCAGGAGAAAGGGAGTTTGTCTTATGGTCCTGAATCTATCCACACTGAGGCTGCTTCTTTGCTGTGTCTTGCTCCTACACCAGCCCTACCCCTGCTGGGAACCATGGGATTCTTGATCCCACTGTGGAGCTCCTCAGCAGGGGGAGCCACAAGTCCTTGGAGTGCTCCTTCCCTTATCACTCACACCAGGCAATTGTGTGCATAAGAAGCTTGATGGAAAAAGCAGTGTAGCACAGAGATTAGAAGGGAACATCTGAAGGACGAATCTTCCAGGCAGAGGGAAGAGCCAATGCAAAATCCCTGAGCCGATTTCACATGTTCAAGGAACATCAAGGAGGCCAGTGTGGCTAGAGTGGAGTGATGACAGAGAAGAAGAGGAGGAGATTAGATCAGGAGTAGGGGATGGATTTTATAGGCACTTGTAGGCAATTATAAGACCTTTAGCTTTTATGCTAGAAGGATGGGTTGCCATGGGGGGGTTTTGAGCAGAGGAGTGGCATGAGTTGACTTACGTTTCAAAAGGTTTCTTTTGAGTTGAGAATAAAAAGTAGGAGATGGGGAGGCAGGACAGAATCAGGGAGACCCATTAGAAGGCTATTACAATTATTCAATCCAGAGATGATAAGAATGAAAAGGGTGAAAAACAACTCATTTCTGGACACAATTTGAAGGTACATATGACTGGGCTTGTTGATGGGTTGGATGTGGGAAAGAGAAACCAAGGCTGACTCCAAGGTTTTGGCCTAAACAACTGGAAAGATGGATTTGCTGCTATTTACTGAGATTTGCACATGTAGCAAGTTTTGGGAGAAGATCAGGGTTTCAGTTTGGGACATATTTGCTGTGATAGAGGTAAGGACATGATGTTAAGGGAATATAGCATAGGGACTCCTCACTGAATTTGGAAGGGGACTGTTAAGGGGTACCTAGAGAAGATGACATTTGAGCTGGGTTTTAAAGGATGGGTAGAGGTTCCTTAGGTAGGGTGAGAAAAGACAAAGGAAACAGCCCAATAGGTGGCCCATGCTAAACAGAGCATGTTTAAGTCAGGGAAAGTGTGTGGGTGGGGGCAGAATTGTTATTCATGGCCTTTTGTCTTAGTCAGGGTTCTCTAGAGAAACAGAACCAGGAGATATCTGCATATATACAGAAAGAGATTTGCCTCAAGGGATTGGCTCACGTGATTGTGGGAACTGGCAAGTCCAAAATCCATGTCAGGCAGCAGACCGGAGACATCTGCAGGCTTGTGTCCCAAGATCCACAGGTCAAGGAACAGGAAAAGTGCAGAGTGGAGAGAGCGAGTGAGTTCTGCCAAAATATTTATCTTCTGGATGCAGCCCACACCCTAAGGAAACTCCCTTTTCAACTGATTGATTGATTGCATTACATTAGATTACACTGTGGAACAGCTACTAGTTTAGTGTTTGGCCAAACCACTGGTAACCATAGCCTACCCAAGTTGACATGTAAAATTAACCATCACAGCTTTGTGTTAATGTCAGGCCATTTCCCTCAGAGAGTGCCCATCCCTTTTTTTCCTGTAGGGCAACAACAACTTTCAAATTCTCTTTGGCTCTGGTTTCTTGAACCTATTTTACTATCACCATGCCTTACCTTCTTTTATCCTTTGGGGTGATCTGGTTCTGAATCCATCCTATCACCTGGTCATCAGCTATCCTGTCCAGAAGGGTCCATCCATGGGAGCCCTGATCATTTAGGAAAACCCTGAGAGCTGAATGTTTCTCCGTGGAGTTGCTCATGGCAGAGCTAAAGGATTCCCCAGGAATCCCAATGTTCCTAAGTGTTCCTTCTTTCTCCAGCCTCATGGGACCAGAATCGTGCAGGACAGGACTCCTATGTCCTCATGGCCAGCTCCCAGGCAGAGATGGAGGAGTGGGTTAAGTTCCTCAGGAGAGTCGCTGGCACACCCTCTGGAGGTAAGGAGCCCTGCAGGCTTTCCTGGGCAGGTGTCTGTGGGACATCCCTGGGATGGGGAGCAAGTAGCTCCAGACATGAGCTCCTGTGTTCAAGGGAGACAGCCATTGCCGTTGCCAAGTCCTCTGCTGAGTTTGGAAGAAAAGAGGGTTCCGAACCTCTAGCTTCTGTCCTGGTCAGCTCAAAGAGCCTAGTCTCTAGATTAGCTGGAGGGACGACAAGCCCATTGCACTGACCAGTGTGAGCAGTGTCCCGGGGCAGTCCTTTCTCCTCTCTGTATTCTCATCAGTGGGATGAACGGGTTGGACCAGCTGACCCTGGCCCCTGGTAGCTCTAACATGAATGTTCTGCAGCACCTCAAGTCTGCAGGTTATGGGCATTGTGAGGTCTAAGTGTACTTGGTGGCAAGAGCTATGCTAAAAACGTAAGTTAGACTGATCAGCACAGGAAAATAAAACTGTTGAAGAGAAGATGGACAGTCAGACTGGGGTGAGGCTCAGGAATTGTTTCCCGAGTCTTATAGGTACTGGGTGAGTTCAGCATTAAAGACTTTTCTGGGTTACATGACAAGTGTTTGAGGCCTCTGGGAGTCCTGGTGCTGTTTCTCCACCAGAGGAGGGCCCTGCCTGTGAAAAACCGAAACCAAAAACATCTGAAATTAACAAACAGGTAAACTCAGTATGTTTTTTCCATACATATATATATATATGTGTATGTATATAAACTGATGTGGATGAGATCTCAAGTTAATTCCTTCAGCATTTTAAGAATATACCTATTTGTGTCAACTCCAGGATAACTGTATAAATATATAATTGTTCATCAACTCTGCTGCCTGTTATTTTGGAAATTATTTGTGGAAGCTTTCATAGTTCAAATAGTAAATATTTATTTGATTGCACAACAGCTTCTTTCAGAATTTTAAGAACACCATAGTAGTTTTATGAAAATTTGAGAAAAATATATAGGAAAATAACTAGTTTCCATTGAGACAATTCTGACGCATGATGACCCCATGCGTGTCAGATTTAAAATGTGCTCCATGGAGTTTTCGATGGCTGATTTTTCAGAAGTAGATAGCCAGGCCTTTCTTTCAAGGAGCCTCCAGGTGGAATAGGACCTCTAACCTTTTCCTTAGCAGCTGGGAGTTTAACCGTTTTCACCACCAGGGACTCCACCACCCCTAAAACCACCGGAAGTATTTTTATGTTTCCCTTGCTGCCGTTGTTCATATATACATTTTTTTTTCTAGAAAGATGAACATAGGGCGAATGCAATTTAATGCTTTTTATTTTATAGTTTAAGTATTTTCTCATGTTACTACATAATTTCAGTTAATACATTTCAGGGATTATTTAGTAACAAGCAATAGAAATCTTACCCAATTAGATTAAACAATCAAGAGGCATTTACTGGGTGGACACGGAAGCTTCTCACAGAATCCAAGGGCAGGGATACCAAGAGGCCTCATAAGGGACTGAGGCCGAGAAATGGAGCATCACCACGGAGCCTACTCTGTCAGTTTCTCTGGGGCCCGCAGTCTCTCATTCTTTGTTTCTCTGCACACCTGCCTGTGTTTGTCTGGTCAGCAGCCCCCTCATGCCCATGCCTCGCACAGCTGTGTGAGCCCCCACTTTCCTGTACTCCTCTTCCGAGTCCCAGGAGAGGCTGAGCTCAGCCTCTGCAGCCCCATTCCAAGCTCCCCAGAGCCATCTGGCTCAGCGTGGCTCAGGAGCCCACCTGTGGACCCAGGGCCTGGGCCAGGGAAGCGGCCCTGTGACCTGCCCAGCAGGGGCTGTGGGAGAAGTGGCCTGGATGGGACAGCCAGACTCCAGAGCATTTGCCACAGTCATCATTAACAGTTGTAGCCTATGACAAAAGGCATAGTTTCATTAACTGTTTCCCAACCCCTAAGCATGATTTTTTACAGTGCTGATTGTGCTGAGATGAGGCTTTTATTTTTTAAAGCTTGATGACATGCTGTTCAGCCTGGAAAATCTCAGCTGTGACTTTCCTTAATGCCCTTGATTATGAGATGCGAGCCACATAGGAATTCTCGGCTTTCCCTGTTGTTGTTAGATGCCATTGGGTTGGCCCCTGACTCATGGCGACCCCATGCGTAATGGAACGAAACCCTGCCTGGTCCTGCACCATGATTGGTTGCGGATTGGGTCTTTGTGATCCGTAGGGTTTTCATTGGTTGATTTTCGCAAGTAAATCTCCAGGCCTTCCGTCTAGCGTGTCTTAGTCTGGAAGCTCCAGTGAAACCTGTCCAGCATCACAGCAGCATGTAAGCCTTCACGGACAGATGAATGGCCCAGTGAATCAGGCTGCCTGCATTGACAGGGGTAGCAAGTGCTGTTTGCTTATATATATGCTCTGAGTCAAAATGCTGTATGTGCACTTTCACCTGGACGTGTGCCCTCAGAAGTGCCTGACCGATCCCGTGCTGCACTCTGTCATAATACACTTGGGGACTTCTCCCTCACCCCACCCCAAGGGCACCTCCTGGAGAAGCGAGTCAAGCATAAGTCCTGTTGGTAGTGGAAAGTTCAGGGGAAGGCAAACCAGAATGCAGCAGTATTCATTTACTCAAAAAACAGGGTTTAGCTCTGATGTACACTTCATATGTTCCTAAAGCCTCTCATCAAACCAGGATCATAGATCCCAGGACAAGAAGATACTGCAAGACAGCAAGGTCTGGTCGAAGGCCCTTGGGCAAGTCAGCTATTGCTCCTGACTATTTGTAAGTCAGGACTTAGGTCCTGGGGGCATAAATGACTTGTGCAAGGGTCCTGTCTGGTGAGGGGAGGGCTGGGGCTCCTGCCTCTGCAGGCAGCTCTCTTTTTGCACAGCATGCTACCATTGGTGAAGGACCTCAAATATCAGTCTGCTAGACCGGCAGCACATGCACCCCCAAACATTGTGAAATCACCGAGATACGTCACAGCTGCCTCCTTCCAGCCCCGTGCAAAGCTCTCTATGACTTTTTCCACCCAGAATCTGCTCACTTCTCACCACCTTTGTTGCTACCACCCAGGCCCAGGTGCCATCCTTTCTTATTCAAATTACAGCTATAGCCTCGAAATTAACCTGCAGGCTTTCACCTTATCTTCTGACAGTCTTTTCAACAGAACAGCCAGAGTGATCCTGCTAAACCTAAGTCTGGTCAAAACCATTGTCTGCTCAGCACTCTCCAATAGCTTTCCTTCTCATTCAGAGTAAAAGTCAAAAGCCTTATAATACAATATCCACACTCCCATTACCTCTCTGATCTTGTTTTCTAGAACTTTCTCTCATGCTCATTTCATTCCAGCTTCACTGGCCTCCTTGTTCTGCCTCAAACATGCTAGGCATGTTCCTGCCTCAGGGCCTTTGCACTTGCTGCTTCCTCTGCCCAGAATCCTCTTTCCCCAGATAGCTTGATCCCTTGCTTTCTTCAGGTCTTTGCTCAAACGTCACCTTAGTGAGGCTTCTCCTGACCATTCTATTTAACACTGAACCCCTTCCCCACCCTGAACCCAGCACTCCTATCCCTCTTTCCTGTTTCATTTTACTCCTTGGCACTTACCCTCTTCTAGCATGCTAAATAGTTTACTCATTTGTTTTGTTTATTGTTGGTCTTCTCTCGCTAGAATGAAAGCTTCACCTTACTTGGTGGGAATTTTTTTATGTGTTTTAGTCAATGCTATATCCCCAGAATCTAAACAGTCCCTGGCACATAGTAAGTGCTCAATAAATATTTATTGAAGGAATAGCTTCCTCTTCCCATAACAGTACTATGTTCTATTCTCTTAGACTCTTCTCTCTGATAAATGACGGTCAGCTAATCTGAGAAATTATCCTGCAAATGGGTTGCTCCTTCTAGAATTATCTTCCTCCAAGCCTGTTAATGGTAAGCTTTGGTGTAGAAAGAGGTCCTGAAACTCTTTATGGTTCATAAACCCTTTAGAGAATCTGATAAAAGCTATGAAAATGCCCCCCAGCAAAACTTCATAGGTGCAGACAATGTTGTGTGCAGCTGCAGGAGATTTTCCAGCAACTAGCCGCTCCTTGGAAACCCTATGGGGCAGTTCTACTCTGTCTTATAGAGGGACTATGAGTCAGAATTGACTCGATGGCAACGGGTTTTTGATTGGTAGCTTGTCTGTGGGTCCCAGGTTTTGAATTCCAGCCTTTAAAAGTCACTCTGGTGACATTTCTTCAGAGTTGAGGTCTGTTCTTGCTCCCAATTCCCTTTTCACTCCTTGTCTCTCTCAACTGGAGAGATGGCCCACGCCGTCTCCATGGCATTCCCAACTTCTTCCTCTTGAGCCCTCCTACCTCGTGGTGGCCCTCAAAGTTCCTCTTATCCTGGCGAGGACCACTTCAGTGTTCCAGCCTTTTCCTTCCCAGCTGGTTAACTTATCTATTTGTCACAACCCTGTCCTAAGGGCCTGGCTGGAAGGGTTAGGCCAACTCTTTTACTCAGACATTCTGGATGAAATTCCAGGTTTTCTGATTAAATAAGAGAAAAGGAACAGAAGCAATCATGCCTCGACTTCTGGCATCTTGTCTCCAGGTTAATACCTGCCCATCTTTCCAACCCACTCCTCCATTTAGTAAGAAGTCATGCTTTCTTTGAATCCCCTCAGTGAAACCTGGCCTCTCCCTCATCTTCCAGGGAGCAGGCAGTTCAGATTGCAAATTGGACTCAGTCAGGGATTGCTCTTGTCTTCTTACTCCAGAGGCCGTTGCTCCCATTGAACCCATTGCTGTTGAGTCAATTCTGACTCATAGAGACCCTATAGAACGGAGTAGAAGCCCCCATAGGGTTTCCAAGGAGCAGCTGGTGGATTCGAACTGCCAACCTTTTGGTTAGCAGCCTGAGCAATTAACTACTGTGCCAGCAGGGCTCCAGGCCATTGCCGGGCACATAAAAACTGCCTTAAAGTGTGCATAGTTCCACTCTGCCAAATCACTTTGCAAGGCTCTGGAGCAGGTCCTATGTTTTAAGCGTCTT